GCGGTTCAGAAGTTTCTCAAAGAACTCTCACAATCGCTGAAGAATACCATAATCTTTCGTTAGAGGGTGTCCAGACATGTCCTTCAAGACTCTTATACTGCCCTTCTTTCATCTCGGAGCCGGCGGACTGCCTGCCAGAATACCTTGCTTGCTGTGGGTAAATTATATATTCGGCTCCAACACCTCACCGAACCTCTCCCAGTAATCAGCTTTCGCTTTCGGTACTGCATACCTTGTCATCTTGCGTGCATCGACATATCGCACGCGAGTAGAAGGCTCTTTGTTTCCAAGCCATTTCTTGAATGCTGCCCTCTCCTCAAGCTGTACCTCTAATGTCCACCAGGAAATTCTTTTCTGACTTGCAGGCGGCAGTCCATCCCATCTGAAATCCGAATATTTGGCTGCACCCTCCAGTATGCCGCAAGTAATGAACTGCAACTCGGTTTCAACATCAGTGGTCATCACCAAAATCTGTTGAAACCGTCGTGCAATGTTGTTTGCAAATTTCGCTCTCCTATCCACCGAAGGTAATGTTTCCCATTTGATTCTCCGGTTGCTTCTGCCACTAGATCTTCCTACGGTACTCCATTTCTTACAGCGCAGCATGCCAAGAACAAGGTGATGATCGGTTGACAGATCTGCGCCTGTTTTGACACGAACATTCACTACAGAGCGCCGTAAATCGGACCATACGATTGTCAAGTCGATCATCGACTTCTGTGCCATAGCTTCCCTGTACCTGGTATACTGATGCACACTATTCGATGCTCGAAGATGGTGTTCATAATATACCGTCCGTTGTTTGCACAAAACCGCAATAAGTTCATGCCGTTGTTGCTGAGGTCGCTAGGGCCGTTCCTCCCAATCACGCTGTTCAACTTTTCGGCGTCTACTCTGACATACGCTTTAAAATCGCCTATGAATATGAGGGATTCTGAATTCGGCACTTCGGACTAAGCACACTGCACTTCCTCAAGGAAGGTTTCATATTCTCCTTCGAAATTGGGTG